ATTACTTCTTCCTCGACCTCCATTCTAATCGTGAATTCCTCCTTTAAGTGATTTTCTCACAAATTAGTTCACCATATGACTTCCAACGAGTACGCTGCTATTTTACCGAGTTAATCTTGTCTATTCAAAAATCATTTGAGGTATTGGGACGGTGTACAGACCCTTATTTTAGTAATGATGCTCACCTCTGAAATGAATAGATTCGGTCGTGATTTCATCGTTTCGCTATTGAGAAGGCAGTTCTAAATTGGGCTGTAATAATGAAGAGGTATCGGGTAAAAAGTTGAAAAAAGTCCTGTCCACGCTCACTACAGTACCTGCTCTTTGTCCATCGGGTACCACATCGCCGACATGCATTGGAAGCCGTACCGTTTCAGTGCCTAACAATACAATGTATAACTTCCAATTTTGACTTGTTTTTGTTTGTTAACTGCTGTTTTTGGCCGCAGTTCGCCTTGCGAATGTTTCACAAGAATGCTGGGTTGTGAACAAAACTTTCGCCCCAGGCGGGACTAGAACCCGCACCTTTCATGCCGATGTCGGCTAACCGGCTCAACACGTTATACGTGTGAGTGCTGACAAGCTATGGTACGTATACCATGAAAAGCTGAGTTGGAATGAAATGGTGCCCCGGTAGCGTAACTGGTAGCGCACTTGCCCGGAAAGCGAGAGGTGCGGGTTCGAGTCCCGTCCTGGGGCGAAAGTTTTGTTCACAACCCAGCATTCTTGTGAACTTCTAAATTCTAAATTCAGAAATATCATGTGTTAGCAAACTCCTTCAGTAAGATGGGGCATTGCACTGTACAGTCTGCTCCAACACCAAATTGGTTTACGGACTACTTGATTTTTCCTCAATGGTCCTGCCGCGATGGCTAGAGCACAGACGATTAGAGAACGGGTGAATGCCCTAGGACTAAGCCTTGGAGAGGAGAGGGACCCGCGAGAGAGCGCAGAGGCGGTTTAAAGGGCTGAGTTCAAGTAGTCCGTCGACCGTACAGACTAAGTCTTAGAGGTGCAGACGAACAGAGCGCCGCGCCGCCGTTTCCCCCACCAACTAAGTTAGCACAAAAACAGCTCGGATACCTACTAGAACATTTTGGAGCACAAACCAAAGAAAACTCACAGGAGAAGCCACCCATTGACTGAAAACATATTCAGGAAGGCTTCACTGCTTATTCTGATGAAAAAATGATCGGGAAGCACTAAGAAGAGAAAAAGGAAGTATGGGGAAAAACCTTTTAGCGCGGTCTTTTCTCTAAGCGATCCATTTTACATTTCGCGTGTAAGCTACGTTCTTTCCTGCTCTCGTCCGCGCTCTCTCGTCGAAATAGCAGTTTTTCCGTATTTTAGGAATAGTCATGGTTCCCCTATCCCCACAAACGGACCCACAAACGTCCATTCCCTCCCTCATAATTGCTGACCGCGTACATATTCTTGCTTAGGAAAGCACATACCCACGCACGAACTAGAGAGGTAGCATGTGACTTTTGAAGACAAAATGGACTTCTCTGCGCACTTTCCAGGCCACCAAGTGTTCCATTCTTCTAGTTACGTACGCTATCCTCCCCCCCCCCCCCCCCCAACGGAGCCTCTAGCTTGAAAAACTGGCAACAATTAGTGGACTTATACATGCTCTTCAACTTTAAGATAGTTCCGTGAAAGGCTCATGAAGACTGTTAGTAAGATGTAATGATTGAATTCCTACCGCATAACATGCTGCGATGCACTGTTCGATACCATAAACATCCTCGACCTGTTCCACAAAGCCTGCTAGAATGTGATTAGCCACGCCGGTGAGATGTGTCGACCTTCCTAAAACGTACAGCCATTTCTCGCGCGAGGTAATCTGTCCAATCAGCGAGGTTACCTTTCTTATGGACTCAACAACGGACTGCATTGCCATACTAGAGTGAAAATTAAACTAGTATTAGGGGGGTCTCGAAACAGCCTCAAATGCCCATTGTCGTTTTTCAACGAGAATCGTGTTTGATC